TCATCGGTTTCGAAATCCCAATTAAATATTTTAAATACTTTAAATATTTAAAAAAGTCTAGTTCCGAAAATTCCGTTCCGCGCTCGAAAGAAAAAAACCGGAAACGCCATCCCGGATGCAAATTTCTCCCAGAAAAGTTCCAGGAAAAAATTCTGAGGATCTTCCAGCAGCGGAAATGTTTTATTTATCGCCGACGCAGGCTGCTCCGTCACGCAGAAACGCAGCGCTTAAAGCGATTTTCATCCCCTGACACGGTCTCTGACCCCTTCCAGAACGCCGGCGAACCGAATGAAGGTCCGGCTCGGGGAATGGAACGTCCGAGAACAGAGCGAACGACTCCCCCACGAAGACTACGAAGTGGAGAAGAAAATCGTGAGTCCACACTCTCTCACACGGACTCCACACTCGATCGCGTGGAGTCCACCTTCGATCGCGTGGAGTCCACATTCGATCGCGTGGAGTCCATGCCCACAGGTGATCCACGGCGACCCACGCAGGCCGAAAGCAATGAAGCATTTCGCATTTCACTCGAGCGCCGAATGCGTTTTGCGAAAGGCACAGGCCTCGATGGGACATATCAATCTCTCGGGCACTTTCTCGGTCGGGTCCCTTTTCGATCCCTGAGGGGCCCGTTTTTGTTTTTCACTGGATCGTTGCGGGAAATTTCTTTCACTCTCGGTCGTTATGCCGGTGAGCGTGCTTCGGCCAGATGTGCCCGTGGACTCCGCGGTATTCCATTCATTTTTTCGATGGATGAAAATATCGCGAAACCTTGAGATCGAGTTCGGAGAATCGCTTTCTGAGTTGGGTTCCGACGCCGAACGATATCAAATCGAAGTGCGTATCGAGGACACGAGCTGCGAATTTCCGCGGTTTGGGGTCTGTTCCTCGCCCAATCAAAATCTGAACTCATTTTTAACGTAATCTCGCCTGAAAGCGGTCGTTCGGCGCGTCGACAGAATTCTCTTAGAATAGATTAAGATCTCGATCGGGTTTAAAACGAGTTAAGATTTAGATTGAGTTTCGCAGAGGCGAGGAAGAGGCGCCCGGAGAACTTTTCGAGAATCATATTTGTTTTTTTCCAAGGTGCACCCGGACTACAACCCCGCAGACTTCCGAAACGACGTGGCCCTGATCCGACTGAGCCGAGACGTCCAGTTCAAGGAGCACATCATCCCCGTCTGCCTGCCAGAGCACAACGAGGACTTCATCGGGAGGAAGGCGAACGCCGTCGGATGGGGGAGGATCACGCACGGTAGGGGGCTCTCTTCGCGGTCGAAGGAGGGTGGGAGGGAGGTGGGAGGGGAGGGAGGAGGTCGCTTGGGAAATGGGAGACGTCGATGACGGTGCGATCCGGCCGTTACCTGAATGGGGCCAAGGCTCTTCACGGGTACGTCCGATCGACGAGGCCTGTTCACACTCCCGTGGAAGATTGCACGGAGGCAGCCGCGTCGGGGGTGACTCGATCGGGCCAGACCCCCGGCGTGCCGTCGATTCCCGTCGAAGGGCACCCCCGCCCTTCGACGGGAATCGTTCGTCGTTGCCACGGCCGATGTCGTCGTCGATGTCGATTCTTGGTTGCTGCCGTGAGGAGCCAGCAGTTGCCGGGTGGGCTTAGGTGTCGAGGGGTTTTCTCGGACGGATCGCCTTCGAAGAGGGGATCCGGAGGTTTTTCTTGTCGTGCTCTTGCTGACGGGGGATTGCGTCTGCCATCTAGCGATGAAATCCAGCACTAATCGGATGCGGTCGATGCGACATACGCTCGTCGTCTGCTTCTACCATGTGAAGGTTATCAAACACATCTTCCATGAACCACATGCATACTAACGGCTAGAAGTCGTTGATCGTTGATCGACGAATAACGCTGGCGAAAGGGGAGGGAAAATACTTTTCGTCTTTCTTCATTATTTTCTCTCTGCCTCTGAGAACGGATTGAACTTGAATAATCTCACAAAAGGCTGTGGCCATAAGAAGCTGAGACGCTGTGTAAGCATTAGTATTTTAATTAAACAGGCGTTTAAAATATTTCAATATTGCAGGTACAAGACTTTGCCCAATTATCCTCGCACAATTATCAGCAACATCCACGAGTTCTTAGGCAAAAAAATGTACTGAATGCACGAATTCGAATGCAATATTCGCTTTATTTTGGGTCTCGTATTTGGAGATTCGAATTGAATCATTCAAGATTATCCACAAGAATCTTCTGGAATGCCCGTCAAAGCTTCGATCATCACCGAAAAAAAAGATAATCTGAAACATATTTTCGATGGAAAGTTGAGGGACTCCATGAGAAAGCTTCTCTAGCCGGTGGAGCCATCTGGTGTGTTAATTCATTATCGCTTTGGCAACTCTCAAGCTTACTTGGTTCATCCTATAATGAAACACGTACTGCAAAAGTACGACATATTTGTGCTGCATAAAGTATCTTCTGCACTCTGAAAGCCTTTGTGGGAATTTAATAAATGGAAAAAGAAATGCGATTAAGATTAAAAATGCGAAGCAGGGGACTCGCGGTTCCGCGTGTCTCGCCCCTCCGCCTTGATCCTAATCTCGCGTCCATTCCCCGCAGGGGTGTCGACGACGCCGAGCGTCCTGCAGCAGGTGGAGGTGGAGGTGATCGACAACGACCGCTGCCAGGAATGGTACAAGAGCGTCGGGCGTCGCGAGACCATCTACCCCGTCTTCCTCTGTGCCGGATACGAGGACGGGGGAAGGGACTCCTGCCAGGTCCGTGCAGCCGGGGGGGAATTCGCTTCAGTTCTTGCTGCTTTTCTCGTTCTGTTGATGCTTTCTGGGATTGCGCGATCGTGTAGGCTCTTACGGTTGTTTAAAACGGGAAAACTTGATGTAAATGATTGGGAAGAAGTCAGCAGAAAAGTAGCAGTTGAAGCAAAGGAGAGTAAAGAGACCTAACAGGCCGAACGAGGCAATCACACGGGATGCAGGTTCTTTTTGCATCATAAAATTTAGCGTATTTTTGGAGGTTGTCTAGAATGGGCTGCAAAGCAGTGGAAGGATTTGCCATAAAATGATATATATATATGTATATATATATGCATCTTCAGAATCAAATTCTGATCATCTTTACTTACTTCACTTGGAAATGAACGAAGAAGAAAAAAATCCTTCGGTGTGGAGAAATTAGAAAAAGAGGCAACTTCTCCATCCTTACCTCCAGCCTTTTTTTGTGCCATCAGAGGAAATTTCGTCGTAAAAAGACGAGGTGCATACTCCGAGAACCAAAATATGAAAATGTGCAGCTGTCAGTCGGCAACATCGTTTGCAAGATGAAACATAGGATGGGTCAAATGTTATCTTTACCAATTCACAGCGTAGTTTCTCGAGAATTTGAAAACCTTGCAATGGCATATCTCTCTAGAACATTTATCTAGCGTTCCACCGCTGTCAAAATAACCACTCAGTCACTTCAATGCATTCGTGGAAAAGTGGAATCACCCTATACCCTCCAGGTGAGGTCCACTTGCACATTCGCAATATTTGCAATGTGGAAGTGGACGTCCATTGCAATTTTAGCAAGCTCTTGGGGAGCAGTGCTGCGAAGTGATGAAGATGACCTAAGTTTTATTGGCCCGCCCTGGCATTTTTGGATACCGAATGCAAGTTCTTTGGGTTTGTTAACGGCTTCATATGCAACTTTGTTTGCATGTGTGTCTCAAATATACAACCACAATGTGTGTTTCACATCAGTTCTTGTGATAGTTTCATGTTCCGAATGAATTCTCTCTCGAATGGGAAGGTCAATCAAAGGAATCGAAAGATAATAATAATCATAATACTTCGAAAAAATCGCGGCAATACGGATTCATGATTTCCCGTCACCCTTTCCGGTAAGCTGATTTTTTATCATTATTTCCAGGGTGATTCAGGCGGACCATTGACCCTACAAACGAACGGGCGGTACACCCTGATCGGCCTCGTGTCCTGGGGCATCGGGTGCGCCCGGCGGCACCTCCCGGGCGTCTACACCAACATCGCCTACTTCTCCGACTGGATTTCCAACAACATGAATTGAGCGACCGGCGTCCACGCACCTCCGAAAGTGCTGTGATAATCTTCTCCCTCTCTCACTGTCGCGCTCTTCATCCGGGGATCCCAGTTTTGTTTTGTTTGTCCTTGTGTTTGTGCGCGCCCAGCCCGAGTACCTCAAGTAAGTTATTTTGGGTCGACTCGGTTCGGGGTCAAAGGTCATGCAGGGTCGTCGTGTGCGTGGGGGGGTCGGGGTGTTGACTGCCGATTGGGGAAGGAAAAAAATTTGCATCGGTGATATTCGCCATTCAGAACATCTTTGCTTGCACTTTTTCTGTCCAGGAGAATCTTTTTAGCGAATTATTTCTGCAGATTTCTGTATTATTATCGACTGTTGAGTCTCGCGAGTCGGATTCGAGTTCTAGTCTCAAGAGGCAGTTGGTGTCACATTAATGTTTGCCATCAGTGATCCGTGAGAAAAAAAAATATTGTTGTTGGGTGGGGGTCCAGTGTGCGTTCAGGGCTCTTTCCGGCTTCCTCCACCCATCCCGAAATTTTTTCGTGGCAACACCGATCGGATATTATAGAGGTTGTCAAGTTTGGGATATGTTTGATTGTCTTGTTTATTGGAAGAAAAAATAACAAAAAAACTGGAAACATCATGTGCCCTGAATGAAGACCATTTTTTACCGTGGACTTCTCTTTGTTTTGTTTTTTTTTGATCCGACCTAATTTGCTGCATAATTACAGCATCATGACACAAAGTGCATGACATCATGATATGTCGATGAAATAGAAAGTTTGACGTTTCCAATTTCTCTGCAATGCCTCGAGCATATACAAAACGTAACAACTCAACGGTAACAATAACGAAAAACAAGAACAACGCATCCATCACGATCCGTAAGGTGATGGGTCATCGAGTGCATCCCAGTTTCGCATTTCCATGTCGGACTTGAAGTCGTCGGCAATGTGAGTCCAGATCCAGTCCAGGTACTCAGACACCCTGATGTAAACACCTGAACAGGAGGCAGACATCACCACATCATCACACACTGAACGCAATGAATATCTTAATGTAGTGGCACTTTTGTACCCATTGGCCATCATCATCAGATGAAACCGATACCGATTGCCAATAGGTTTCTTCTGGTCGCAGAAATAATTGCATCATGGGAGACTTCATTTTCAAATTATCCGTCCTCAGGGAAGCGTGAATTTCATTTTCCTATACTGCCTACTTTTGTGAAATCAAGTTATAATAATTAATAATATTTAATTATGATGAACCATTATCTTGCATGAAGGATGTTTTTTCTCCCTGACGGCTTACTATTCAGCATCCCATCTTGATTGCTGTGAGAGTATTGCTAGTGTCAAAATGTCCTATAGAAATCCTATCGAAAATTAAATAGAATATCATGAATTTTAAGACCATTTTAAATATCTTTCATTAAATTCTATAGAATTCTATATACAGGATGGGGCGAAAAACCGGTCGAAATTGAAATGTCAGAACTTTTTTGTCAAAATATATTTACTGGGGAATTTTTTTTAAATTGAATACATAGATATATGGAAGTTTGCGGTACATCATGATTTTCACGGAAGTTTGAAGTTTTTTTCGTGTAAACACTTGCACAATGTGCTTACATGAAAACATGTTTGCATGAATGTCTTTACATCCCTTCGAGTCGAAGGGTCCTTTGAAGACGTTCTTGAAAGGATTTTTTTCCGGTCAGCATGACCTTTCAAGTCGTCTTTCACATCACCAGGATCTTCAAATTTGTCACTAGTATTCAGTGCAGATCTGCTTGGGGCTTTCCTTGCTCCAAATTCTGCTTTAACCCTTTCAGACCTGGCGTCCATCCCGATGGACATTGCTTTTACATCGTGTCTATGGGAATTTCTTAGGATTCTCGTGACTTTGCGCTCTATATAACACGACAATGGGCACAATTATGCATGGCTCAGTTCCATCAGAGGCCTTCTTTCACCTATTAGTTTTGTAATCTTCAGTTATTTAAT